GATTCTGCGGCCTTGGCCAGTTGTCGCGCAAGGCGTTGACGCCGTCTTTGGCGCGCCCTCTTCGACAAAGCTGGAGCACCTTCAGCAGTTACCTTCACGGCGGAAGGGAGGTCCGGATCTGCAGCTTTGACCTCTTTGGATGCTGCAGGGACGCCACGGGGTACGGGTGCAGTAGCGGCGAGGGGATCTTGGATCTTCAATCCTGAGGTCCCGCGAGCGTTCTTGGAAGAGGAGGTCTTCCTACGCCTGTTTGGAGAGGCGGATCTGGAGGAGGAGGAAGAGAGGTACTCTTCAAACTTTTGTTGATCGAACTCGTATTCGATCTCTTCATTCACCCGGATCTTGAACGCCGGTTGCGTCACGACAGCCTCGACAGCGAGGCTGTTGGCTCCCACTGTGGTCGTCAGTTTGTTTACGGTGAAAGTTAATGTTTTCATTGCTATCGAATCTATTATAACTTTAATCGCTACAATAAACTCGAATAAAATAAAAAGTTGATCTTTTTATAAGATCTCCTTACACAATGAAAATAGAAAGTTTATAACTTTATCAAACAAACGCAGAGATCGTTTATCGGTCTTCTGCTTGCGTGGGATCTTTACCTGTGTCGGGGTTTATCCGTGGACCACCGTCGATCAGATCTGATTGCTGAAAAATTGGGCAGAGCTTCGTCTATCCGAGCGAGATAATCACTCTTCTTAAGATTACCGCAACGGGATAATCCTAAGGAACGGATCCGGGAAACTATAGATCTGACTCCTCCTCCTCTCTGAAATCTGTGCACTTTAAGTCTTCAATCCGGCAGGGCTTCGCCGAGGCACGAGAATTCCAGCTCTGAAAAAATAAGGACCCGTGGCTGTATTTATAGGCTCCAGGGGGTTTCGGGTGGTTAAAACCACTTAACTGAACATTTCTGCGTTAGAGACACCCCAGGGTGTCTCAAACTGGGCCGAGACACCCTAGGGTGTCTCGCTCGTGCCGAGACACCTCGGGTGCCCCAGTTCAGCCTGAGACGCTCCGTTATGCCTGTTCGTCCGTTTCCCCCGTAACTTCTTCATCCGAACTCGGATTTGAGTGATTCCAAGTGCGTTGGAAAGCTGACGAGGATTTCTACAAGTTCCAATGATTAAATCATCCGCGGGATAAATGAGACACGAAGGGTATTTCACCATTTGTGTTCTACAAGTTCCAATGATTAAATCATCCGCGGGATAAATGAGACACGAAGGGTATTTCACCATTTGTGAACGATACGAGGTTCCCGATCGGTTCATATCTTCACCATTCCGAAGTTCCGTTGTTTCACGTAGTTCGTCGGTTTACTTCAAGCATTCGTCGACATCAATCAAGCTTCTGTGAACCAGATGGTGACGTTCATCGTTATTTCTTAACACTGAGCTGTTCGTGGAGACCTATAGGCAATTTTCGATGCCTACAATCAACAATTGAGAATTGTTTACATGCATTTCTTCCAGTCTCTCACCACCATTTCCTTCAAAGAAGGAACTCATAAACCACAATTAAAATCAACATTACTCGTTTAAAATAATTAAATTCAAAAACCCTCAATTGATTGGGAACTTACTTCTTCTTTGAGATGGTCACATCCTCCGGCGAGCGTCTCCTCTTGCGCTCTCGATTTTCCTGACTTTTCATGATCAATAGGGTTTCCATCGCCTCGTTACTCTCCTCATCATCAGAGGATGGCAGAACAGAACCGCTAGCGTGAGATATCAAGGCGGAGGTGGAGGGGGATAAGTTTGGCAGTTCCTCCTGCGCAAGTCGTGCCGACCGACGCCGTTGACTAACGTCCGCTTCCGTTTGAATCTGGTCTACTTCACCCTTGCGTCGCTTAGGGTTCTTAGCCATTTCTCTTATAATTTTTTTCGGCATTTTCCTTGTGGATTTCCTGACCGCTAGAGTGAAACTAGGGTTTTCAAATTGAGTTCGCAAGCTGAGGGAGGTTCAAGTTTTGCGGATTTTTGTGGGTCTGAAGAGAGAAGAGCGCGAGAGAGAGAAAGAGGGAGGGCAGATTGGGGGCGACAGTTAGAAGGGCAATTTTGTCTTTAGAGACGATCTGTGCTCTCAGAGTTGTCTCGGAAATGAAAAAGAGGCTGAAACACTCTTGAGTTTGGTATTGGGGGCTTGTTCACACCAAAAAATATACAGGGGGCTTAGTCACAACCGGATCTATTTTTTGGGGTCTTGAAATATTTTTCCCTTTTAAAATTTTAGGCTTATTTGCCTCATCCTACGAGTGTAAATATCTTGTTGTTGCCAACTTAATTATAATACGAATTTGATCATTAGATACTATCGTTAATACAACATAATAATTTAGCCATGTCTAATCTGATTAAACATAATTTGGTTTTTAGAAAAATTGCAATTAATTGAGATTAGACAGCTCGCTGAACTGTGCCAGTTTTGTCTTCATGCCTACGATTTATATTCCTACGAAGCTACCCTCCAATCTCCTCCTTATTCACAGTGGCAGAATCGCAATATATCACCCAATTATGGACATCTAGTCAGTCCACAGTTGATGCCTGCGTCAGATCTGAGCGAGAGGACACAGCCTTTTCTATTAGATTTCCCGCACGCGGACGTCGACGTCACTCCCTGTTCTTTCCCGAATTTACCGAAACGCCACTGACTCGAGGGCGTCATGGTAATTTAACCCCCGGCAGGTCACATGCCTGTTGGTTCGCCATTCCTCTCGATAAGTGCTCCTCCCTCCTCTCCACTGTCAAAACTTTTTCAGTTTTTAGTTTTTACTCTCTCTCTCTCTCTCTCGCTCTACTTTCTCTCTCCTCTGAACTCTGAAACCTTAATGGCCGATCCCAAGCTCTACTAACCCTAACCCTAGCTAGCATCAGTATGGGCCCCGTCCTCTTCTCCTTCTTCTTTCTCCTCTTGAGCTCGCCCGCGTCCGCGTCCTCGTCCTCGTCCAGCTTGGACTCGGAGCTGCTCGTCTCCTTCAAGAACTCGCTCCAGAACCCTCGCCTGAGCTGGGACCCACGGGCACCCCCTCCATGCTCCCTTCAGCCGCGTCACGTCGCCCGATATTTTCCGCCGTCACCCGACCTCGGCGGCCTCCAGCTCACCACGAGCTTCAGCGCCGTTGGCTCGACTCTCCTCTCTCTTCAGAGCCTCGAATCCCTCTCTCTGAGCTCCGGTAACGTCACCGGGGACTTGACCGCTGTTCCTCTCTGCGGGCCCCGCCTCGCTGAGCTCGACCTCTCCGGCAATGGCCTCTCCGGATCCGTTGCCGACGTGGCGCTGCTTGCTGGCTCGTGCAAATCTCTGAAATCTCTCTGGCAGCGGATCATGTCGTTAGACTCGACTTGACTGGTCTTACAACAGGATATCTTCCGTGAGCGAAGTCCAGCTCGGTTCTGTTCGAGCTCGGAGTTCGTTATCTGAATTTAGCCGGACAGAATCTATCGGCAGGCTTCCGCATCGGCAGTGACTACTCCTCGAGGAATTTGATGTCTCCAGCAATGAATTCTCGGGGGAGATTGGTGATGGGGTTTTCGACGGGTGCACCAAGCTTGGGTTTCTGAATCTCTCTTCGAATCGTTTTACGGGGAAGCTGCCCGGGTCCCTGTTGGATTTGAAGTCGTTGGAGCTGATTAATCTGTCGAACAACGCGTTTTCGGGCGAAATCCCTGCGGGGTTCTTTACCTCATTGCCCAGTTTGAAAACAGTGCAGTTTTCGTTCAATAATTTCACCGGCGAACTTCCTGACTCGTTATGGAGGTTGCCCAAGTTGGAGATGCTAGATCTTAGTGCCAATGGGTTTTCGGGTTCGATCCCCTCGAGGAGCATGTGCTCGAGTCCTAGCTTGCAAGAGCTCTACCTGCAGGATAATCTCTTTACTGGAACGATTCCTGAGAGCATCAGCAACTGTTCGGTGCTCTTCTCGCTTGATCTCAGCTTTAATTATCTCACTGGATCTATCCCTTCTTCTCTTGGTTCGCTGTCCCGGCTTAGAGATCTGATTTTGGGGCAGAATATACTAGAAGGCAAGATCCCGAGTGAGCTCAAGCTTGTTTCTACCCTTGAAAACTTGATTCTGGACACAAATGGCCTTTCTGGTTCGATTCCTGAGGGGCTCAGCAACTGCACGAACTTGAACTGGATTTCTTTGTCGAGCAACCATTTGAGTGGGGAGATACCCTCGTGGATCGGGAAGCTTGAGAAGCTTGCAATTCTGAAGCTTAGCAACAACTCTTTCTCTGGTGAGATCCCGAAAGAGCTTGGGGATTGCAAGAGCTTGATATGGCTTGATCTCAATAATAATAATTTGAGCGGGAGGATACCAGGTACGCTGGCAAAGCAATCAGGAAAAATTGCTGTTGGCTTGCTGACAGGGAAGAGGTATGTTTATTTGAAGAATGATGGGAGTAGAGAGTGCCGAGGGTCAGGCAATTTGCTTGAGTTTGCTGGAATCCGGCCAGAGGCTGTCAACCGGCTACCTAGCCGGGACTCTTGTAACTTTACGAGGGTTTATAAGGGGAGCACCCAGTACACATTCAACAACAATGGTTCGATGATCTTTCTTGATTTGTCTTATAATCGTTTGGAAGGTGAGATACCGAAGGAAATTGGGGATATGTTCTATCTCATGGTTCTTAATCTTGGCAACAATTCACTCTCTGGTCCAATACCTATGGAGTTGGGGAACTTGAGGTCTGTTGGAGTCTTTGATCTCTCTCATAACTTACTCGAAGGTCCTATTCCTGGATCCTTCTCAGGTTTAACTTTGCTATCGGAGATTGATCTCTCTAACAACAAGCTTAATGGTACCATTCCTGAATTGGGTCAGTTGGCAACATTTCCAAGGTACAGGTATGAGAACAATTCAGGCCTTTGTGGGTTCCCCCTCCAACCTTGTGGAAAAAGTACCATTGCGAACTTGGACAATGATCACCAGATGTCTCGCCGTCGCCAGGCCTCCATTGTTGCGAGCATTGCTATGGTTTTGCTCTTCATCATTCTTTGTATCTTTGGCGTGATCATATTTGTTATTGAGAATAAGAAGAGACGGAATATGAAGAGTAACACGAGCAATAACAATCTTCGAGATATGTATACTGATAACAGGTCACACTCGGGTACTGCAAACAGCAACTGGAAGCTGACTGGTACCAAGGAAGCCTTAAGCATAAGTCTTGCCACATTTGATCAAAAGCCCCTGCAAAAGCTCACTTTTGCAGATCTTCTCGAAGCCACCAATGGCTTCCATAATGATAGTATGGTCGGCTCTGGTGGATTTGGTGATGTATACAAAGCTCAGCTCAAAGATGGCAGTGTTGTGGCAATCAAGAAACTCATACACATCAGCGGGCAAGGTGACCGAGAGTTCATGGCTGAGATGGAAACTATTGGGAGGATCAAGCACCGAAATCTTGTTCCTTTATTAGGCTACTGCAAGGTCGGAGAAGAAAGACTCCTAGTCTATGAATACATGAAGTATGGAAGTCTGGAAGATGTCCTCCACGATCGAAAGAAGGCAGGGATCAAGCTCAATTGGGCGGCGAGGAGAAAGATTGCAGTGGGAGCTGCCAGACATATAATCCATAGAGACATGAAATCGAGCAATGTCCTCTTGGATGAGAACTTGGAAGCTAGGGTTTCTGATTTTGGGATGGCAAGGATGATGAGTGCAATGGACACACATTTGAGTGTTTCAACACTGGCGGGCACCCCTGGTTATGTCCCTCCAGAGTACTATCAGAGTTTTCGGTGCACTACAAGAGGCGATGTATATAGTTATGGAGTTGTTTTGCTCGAGTTGCTCACAGGGAGATTACCAACGGACTCTTCGGATTTCGGTGACAACAACTTGGTTGGCTGGGTGAAGCTGCATTCGAAGCTTAAGATTAGTGATGTGTTTGATCGGGAGCTTATTAAAGAGGATCCCTCTCTGGAACTCGAGCTTCTTGAACATCTGAAGATTGCCTGTGCTTGCCTGGATGAAAGGCCAATGAGACGGCCTACAATGGTGAAGGTGATGGCAATGTTTAAGGAGATTCAAGCAGGATCGACAGTATGTTCGTCGGTCTCTGACGTTGCGGTTTCAGTGACAGATGGGAGTTTTAACTCTTCAGATATGAGTTTGAAGGAAGGGAAAGAAGAAAAAGATTGAAAAGCGCCTGCTTCTTCTTTCATTACCATTTAATGGGTATGATTTTTTTCCCCTCCCGTTATTGCAAAATATGTGTAATATATGTAGGAAATTCCTGTTTTTCTCCATGTCACATACGTTAGCAAGAGTTCCATCTGATGTATATATTGTGATTTTCTAGGAAATGTTATGATTCCTTGTTTTGGGTTCATTTTCCTTTGTGCAATACTGGTTGCTACTCTCATGAAAAGGAAATGTTATGATTCCTTGTTTTGGGTTCATTTTCCTTTGTGCAATACTGGTTGCTACTCTCATGAAAACACTTGCTGCATTTATCATTTTTGGGTTCATTTTCCTTTGTGCAATACTGGTTGCTACTCTCATGAAAACACTTGCTGCATTTATCATTCTCCGCTTCATCATGGGACTTGAGATAAATTGCTATCCATACTGAAGTTACACGATGCACGTGTAAGTTTGATCTGTTTTCATTCTAGGCTTCCACTTTAAGTAATACCTTTTGTGTTATATGAGAGTTGTTCAAAATCATGTTGGCTTAGATCCTATTAATGGTGTTGTTGGCAGATGGACCACAATTAGAAATATACATTTCCATAGTGACATCGGTCCATATTACTCATCTTGCCACATTAGAGTACCCCCTGTCAACCTTATCAATCTTCTTATTTAGAAACCTAATAATGTCTTTGAAGGACCAATCTGCTCCCCAATCTTCATGCTCAACAAACTTTGCTCTCAAGATGGACTATATTAGCACATTATAACAATACCCATATTAAAACTCCCCAACGTTAGAAACTGTTGTTAAGTTACAATGTAGGGAAGTGGCATATTTGCAATTCAATCGGTGTGTATTTTAGGACCATCCAGATAGCCCACATACTACTTACTCTCCTTGGGTTTTTGGATTTCCAAAGTTATTCTTTGGTTCTGGTAGTAGATTGCAACTTTGTTGTACCCATCTAGTCTACAGAATTAAAAAGCTTCATTCCTCGAATGAGGCGTAGGTCCCATGTCCTTGCTTTTGGGTAATTGGTTGTTGAATAGAGGTTGGGCTGTCAATACAGGCAAAGGCTAGCTAAGTAGCACTTGTATACCCTATAGTTTCAACTACTTTTCAGTTATATACCCCAACTTGTATTTGGTAGCCAGAAAAATACCCTCGCTTTTTTTAGCGGCAATTAAATACCCTCAAGTTCTCAAAGCTAGCACTCAAATACCCAAAAGTTTTAAAAACTTGCATATAAATTCCCTCGGTCATGCAAGCAAACTTGTGGGTATTTAAGTGCAATCTTAAAAACTTTAGGGCATTTAAGTGTCATATTAAAAAACTTTGGGGTATTTAAGTGCAAGTTTTAATAACTTTAGGGTACGTAAGTACCGCCAAAAACAAGTGAGGGTATATAATCGCAAGTTTTAAAAAATTTAGGGTATTTTCAGGTTACTAAATACAAATGAGAAGTGAGGGTATACGAGTGAGGAGTAGGTGAAACTATAGGGCATATTAAGTGCTATTTAGCCATAGGCTGGCGATTTGTGTAGAGGATTTTCAAAGTTTGAAAAGGGTAAGCGTCATGTGGGTGGACCCTGATAGGGTTGTGTGTGGTCTTATAGCCATCTCTGCCTGCTTGAAGGACATAAAGGATGTCAGGACAAATTTTATCATTGTTCAATTTAACTGACAGCTATAAGAGAGAAGGTTATCGTATTATTTATGGGATATAATGCACGATATATATATATATATATATATATATTTTCATCTTTTGTCAGTTCTAGTTGTCATTCCTTTTCGAGATGCAAGGGTAAATGCTAAACGGTAAATTAAAAGAGACACCTATTCCTTTGGTAGCACAACCCCTATACATGTGAAGACATGAACAAAGGAAAACCTCATTCTCTTTTTTTTTAGATTTAGGGGCTGTTTGGTTCGTTTCCTAGATATAGGGAAATGTAATTCCAAGTAAAGAAACCAATGTTTTTAGTTTTCCAAACTTTTCCAAGAAATAGTTTGTTTTGGTTTGGTTCGCACAAAAAAATGGTGAGAAACCAATGTTTTTACTTTTCTTGTGTTTGGTTTGCAAGAGAAAAAAAGGGAAAACTTATGTTGATTTGACATTTCCCACTTTTCTTGTGTTTGGTTGGTTTTGAAGTGTGTATGGAAAAGTGTTTAGAGTCACCATGGTAAGATTACCCCCCACTATAGACAAAAATTATTTGTGCTAGTTATGAGATGTAATCTTAATCATATAAAAGTGCGAATGTATCATGAACAAATATTAATAACCCGAATGAATTATAAATTTCTGTTTGTATTAATGAAATCATACGAAACCTGAAATCATCTGAAACCTACTGTAACATGAACTGCGTACCTGATTTGACATGAAATATACCTGTTTGAGATGAAAATAATCACACAAAACTTGTTTTCGAAGAAAAAATAAACAAGACCTGTAATAACCTGATTATTCATAAATTTATGAAATACGTACCTGAATTAGCAAAAAAAATTTCTGAAACCTATAAAAACATATAAACGGCCTGAATAACCATATTTTAGTACATAACATAGCAAATAGCCATCCAGTATATGTGAATTATGACTGTGGGCTCAGAACTTGTTCAATATCATCATCGTTAGCCATCCGGTGCAATATCAATAGATATTGCAGGTTACTAATCTCAGAAAAATTAACAATCATCATAGCCTAAATTGAACACCCACAAACAGTATCAAAATCAACAAATAGTACGGAAAATCTGAGCACACATAGAACTCCACAAAACATTAGCTCAAATAGAAGATGAACAACAGAGCATCCACAAACAGTGAGCTCACAAAACTGGTGTGCACAAAACTGGAAGTTGTCACAAACCTGGACACAACAACAAACTAACCAACAACCAGCAACAACAAGAAACATTCAGGCCCAACAACCAAACGACACAACAACACAACTCTGGACACAACAACAACAACTGAAGGAACAACCAGCAAACTAACCAACAACCAGCAACAACAAGAAACCACAAACCCAACAACGTAGAGATCAACCAACAACCAGCAACAACAAGAAACCACAAACCCAACAACGTAGAGATCAACCAACAACCAGCAAGCAACAACCAAATCAGAAGAACCAGCAACCAGCAACAACAACAACTACCAACATAGACTGAGCACATGTTGTGTTTAGCTTAGGGCTCAGAACTTGGTCAATATCATCATTGTTAGCCATCCAATGCAATATCAATAGATATTGCAGGTTGCTAATCTCAGAAAAATTGACAATCATCATAGCCTAAAAATAAAAAAATCACCAACGAAAACCAAATACCTAAATGCCCCAGAGCAATAGCCATCCAGTACAATGTGTACACATTGTAGGTTGCTTGCATCTTAGGAAATATCCTGCATTCACAAATTCAATTACAAAAGTTAGTATTCCACAAAATGATATTAATCATGGAAGATAAATATTACAAAATGGAAGCAAATAAATACTTACTACATATTACAACAATATGTTCCATCATCATAATGTTCCACAAACACAATAAAAACATTATCACCAAAAGTAAGTGGATTTCACAAGTATGTTAGAAATGAGAATCACAAAATACCACGTAGAGACTTCTTCTATCGGTCTTCAACCCCCTTCGTTGAGAAAGGTAGCAATCATCTCTTTTTGACCAACCGATGATATGCCCATAAATAGTCTTGCTTCATGCTCATTCAAATATAAGTGTCGGTAGTATGTATCTAGCTTTTCAACACTAAAATCTTGTAAATGAGCATATATGACCGTGGATAACTTCTCGGTCCAATGCATATTTACACACTTCATGTTTGCGCTAAATACATCTATCTTATCCACCATTTTTAACATGAGCTCATCTTCTAGGTTGTTCCTACGAGCCTTTCCCTTAGCAACACATACCTTTGCTTTAGAACTTGATATGGCGGGTGTTTCCTTAGGCGGAGGAGTGTCCTCTTCATCTAAAATGTGTACTTGAGGGGATTGTGAGGCAGGTAAAGGCGAGTCACCATCATCTCCAAGATTTATGGACTCACTACGACTAAATTTTTTCCAAGCATCACATGCAAATTCTCCTCTAGCTTGATCATCCCCGATGATAAGGGAAAGATCATCGTAGTGAGTCAAGGGTTTATTGACATATTGTCTAAGTTTAGCATTCTTAAAGCTCTTGTCCTGAAAAGTATAATTGAATTAATTCAATGAAAACATGTAAATAAGATAAGTAATCAAGGGTTATGTAAAAATAGTTTATGTACCTCAATCCACCTATCCAAAAATTCAGGCTCCATGATGACAGTCTTGGA